TTGAGGTTAGAAAATCTGTCATAGTGACGAGATGCAGCCATGCAGCGATTGAACACGTCTATGCATCGAAGTTATGTACAACATGTAATTGTTGCTAGAATAAGTATTTTTTACTTCAATTACACAAATTCTGTTAAAAGCAAATTCTCTGCTTTAAAAGCAAATTGTCTGCTTTATAAAAACACATTCAATGTGCTTTACAAATACATATTATTTTCTATGTAACTTTTTATAGTAAAAAATTTGTTTTTAAAAACAGAGAATTTGTATTTTAAAGCGAAGAATTTGTATTTTTAAAATATCTTTTAACAATATCTTTTAATTAAGACAAATTATCTGTAAAAACAAAAATTATATAAAAAATATTTATTCTTAAAGCAGAAAATGTATTTTTAAAGAAGAGAATTTATGTAATTTAAGCAGAAAATGCTTATTCTGGTCTCAATTACATGTTGTAAGCGTGGCACATAGATGTGTCCAGTCGTGTCACAACATTTCGTCGCTATGATAGATTTTCTTTAACATTTTTTTCTTACAGATTCTTTCATTTTGAGCAAAAACGTGTCTAATGAGCCTAATTTCATCAAAATCGGAGATACAGTCTGTATTTTAATTATAGTAATTCTAATTATAGTTAAATAATTAGAATAAATATTCTAATTATAGTAAATAATTATAGTAATTTTATATTATTTGATATTTCAGATTATCCTAAGGAAAATTATAACGATAATGTTGACGCCTTTTGCGGTGTTAAATATTGCAAGCAGAAACATTTTTACTTCAACTCCTATGAGTCAGATAATTAAATTGAGTAGACTGAGAGTAGTGGACAACAGCGAGATAGGAAAGCAAGCTATGATGGAGGGTAGACCACCGCGTTGCATTCACATATATAACAAGCATGGAGTGGGATATATTGGTGAGACAATAAATGAAAGACTATATAAAAGATGTTATCATTTTCTAGGAAATTTATTTAAACATTGCTATATGTATTATTCAGGTGATAGAATTTTAGTTGCTATAAGAGGCGAAAAGAAAAAGGGTATATTGGTTGGATTGAAACAGCAACAGGCCCCTAAAGTTCCTAAGTTCGATAGCAACAATCTGGTACTCATAGACGACAACGGCACACCTCTAGGTACAAGAATACAGGTGCCTATTCCACACATACTCCGAACGAAAATGAAAGAAAAGACTCACAGCAAAGGAGCAGATTATACTAAACTAATAGCGATTGCATCCAGATTCGTGTAGTGTATCTATCTTATCTACTATTGTAATATATATCAAATATTTCAAGAAAATGTTAATATTGTAATTATTTAGTATTTTCTGCAAAACTTGTAATGGAAGCGTATTACTCATGCATCTGTGTATTTTATTGTATATTAATATTATAATAAAACTATCATAAATTCAACCTTTTTTTTTATAAAGATAGATAATGGTTCAAATAGCTACCCATTCAGAACTCTGAATAGTAATTATACGTATATTAAATGTAACTTATTGTACATGATTTTTGTAGATATGTATTATATCATATTACGTATATTATATCACGTATACATATTAAACTAGGAAAAGAGAAAAGATGTGAGAAGAGGTGAGAGCCTTGTTTAATGCACTAGGAGTGTTTTCTATTTAACATAAGGCTATATATCTCGGCTTTGTTTAATATTTAATGATAAAAGATGAGAAAGGATGAAATAATATCGCGCATCCTATATATTTGTATGCTTTTGTTTATGTAGGTATAGAGCTTATAAGTGTAACTTTAATTCAGTTATCAGCTATGGGGAGCTTTATTGCTTTGTATTTAAAGAGATTATTTAAATTAATTGTTGAAGTTATATTATGCTTACGTTAAGATTTGATATTTTTATTAAAATTTTAGCAAATTGCATAACTTTAATTCTTTGCCGTTAGAATTTATTATCAAATTTGTCTTCATCGCATTCCGAAATCAAATTAATAATGCAAATAATTCTTCAGTTTTCGTCGTCCCGATAACTTTTTTTCAATACGATTCCTATATAAGAATAGAATATGGATGAGCACTTCGAATTCGTGGAGAATTTGGTCTGATACTGGCGAAAAACATTTCCTGTCCCTAATCTGATAAGTTACAATAGATAAGCATAGTTTAATTATCAAAAATCTTTATTCAATAGTGTGTACAAGTTCAGATACAAAATAATACAAAATAAAATTGTTTCAGCAATAGTAGTCTGGTTCAAAATGCTTTCACGCATTGAATCTCATGAAAAAAAAGTTTTCTTGAAAAACAGACTTAGATGATATAATCGGATCTTATAGGGCAGTCTTAAAGTAATCTTTGTGTGGTTGCTGGATTGTGATTGAATATGATTAAATGATCTCAATCATGTTCGGTCTTATTTAGCCTCAATGGCAATTCTGCTTGATCCATCTCAAATTCCGCAATAGATAATGGTTCAAATGGCTATCCATTCAGAACTCTGCAATAGTAATTATACATATATTAAATGTAACTTATTGTACATGGTTTTTGTAGGTATATTATATCATGTTACATATATATTTTATCACATATACGTTTTTACATATTATACATATTAAACTTAGGAGAAGAGAAAAGAGGAGAAGAGGTGAGAGCCTTGTTCAAATTAAGATGTGGGAACTTGAAGGAAGGATAATAAATATTGGGTAGAAGAGCATAGGAAAAAGAGTATATTCTGTGGTAAGAGAAAAGATAATTTAAAGCACTATGTAGAAGAATGTTCGGAAATAAGAGAAAGGTTTACTAAATTAGAAAAAGAATAAGGAAGAGATCTTAAGGAAATTGTATGATACGGATTTAGATGAGCTAAAAGGGGAAATAATAAGGAAATTATGGGAAGAGAGGGAGGAAGCAAAAAGAAGAAGGAAAATAAAGAAGGAGTCAAAAGAGGACAGAGAAGAAATGTATAGAGTGATGATATGGAGAGAAAAGGAAAGTAAGGAAAGTAAAGAATTAAGAAGTAAGTAAGATATAAATATGTGATAATATTGGGTTGGCAAGAAAGTAATTGCGTTTTTTTAAAAGGCATCTATTAGTAAAAACCACAATTACTTTCTTACCAATCCAATAATAATAGGCGGTGATAAGACTGAGATAACGTATTAGGTGTACAACTTTGCTTTCGCCGTTTTTTTTCCGAAATTCGAGGCTTTATTGTAAAAAACTGGTTATACATTTATGATTCAAAGTATTGTCCATCGCTGGCTACTACTTTCTCCCATCTTTCGGGTAGCGTATGAATCCCGCGTCGAAAAAACTGGTCATCTTTTGAGGCTATCCACGAATCGATCCAATTTTTTACTTCTTCATAAGAACGGAAGTGCTGGTCAGCCAGGCCGTGTGCCATTGATCGAAATAAGTGATAGTCGGAGGAAGCAACGTCTGGAGAATACGGCGGGTGGGGACTTCCCATTTCAACGTTTCCAAGTATATCTTGACCACTTTTGCAACATGGGGTCGAGCATTGTCATGCTGCAAAATCACTTTATCGTGTCTCTCGTTGTATTGCGGCCGTTTGTCTTTCAATGCTCGGCTCAAACGCATCAATTGCGTTCGATACCGATCGCCTGTAATTGTTTCAGTCGATTTTAACAGTTCATAATACACTATGCCGAGCTGGTCCCACCAAATACAGAGCATGATCTTGGAGCCGTGAATATTCGGTTTGGCCGTCGACGTGAAAGCATGGTCGGGAACTCCCCATGATTTTCTGCGCTTGGGATTATCGTAATGAACCCATTTTTCATCCCCAGTCACAATGCGATGCAGAAATCCCTTCCGTCTTTGCCTTTCAAGCAGCTGTTCACAAGTAAACAAACGTTCAACATCTCTCGGCTTCAATTCGTACGGCACCCAATTTCCTTGCTTGAATCATTCCCATGGCTTTGAGGCGTTTTGAAATGGCTTGTTGAGTCACTCCCAATGATCGTGCCAATTCTTCTTGATTTTGACATGAGTCTTGCTCAAGTAATGCCTCCAATTCTGCATCTTCGAAAACCTTCTCTCTTCCACCGCCGGTCTTCGACGTCAACATCACCGTTCTTGAAACGTTGAAACCACTCACGACACGTTCTTTCACTAATAGCGGCCTCACCATAAGTATTTGAGAGCATTCGATGAGCCTCAGCCGCAGATTTCTTCATATTGAAGCAAAAAATTAAAACCTCCCGCAAATGACGAGAATTTGGCTCGTAAACTGACATTTTCAATCGAGAATAACTTTATGATGTAGACACAAATCGACTAATGTTTCTATACGTTATGTTGACAGATGCCCAAGTTTATTGTATGACATCTATGATCTATTTATTTCGACCACCACTTACCGCTAAAGCTATCTATAGGAAAACGGTGGAAGCAAAGTTGTACACCTAATATGTATTGAACGAGAATATATAACATTAAAAGTAGATATAACTGAGAAAAAGTAGATATAACTGAGAGAAAAGCGGACAAAGCGAAAAGAAATAAAGCAGGTAAAGAAGCGAAGAGGGTTTAACCAGAAAAGTAGGAAAGTAAAGGGATAAGCATAAAAAATTTATAATAATATATGTGCGATAGCGTGCAGACCAGATATGGAAAGTGTGAATGAATTAAGTATTTATATAAACCAAGTGCCCTTCTTGGCTGTATATGCTGAAGTGTAATAAATTCTATTCCATTCATATTATGCATCCTCCAATGTTATTTTCGTCTTAATTTTTTAAATATTAATTATAATAAATGGAAATTTTATAGGGAAAGTATCAAGCATTTCACGATGTGGAAATGGATGTTTCGGTTATTCCGAAGATAAAAAACAAGAATTTTACCTTATTTACTCATAGTCGATAATGTCAGTTTCCTTCAATTATCATCAGGCTCTCAACGCGTCGACGCAGTTACGAGCAATTCAAATCTTGTCGAGACGCGAGGACGTTGGCGACGGTTTGGATGGGTGAGAATTGAGAAGTGTTAACTGTTATTATGAGGCGTCGTTGATCATCGTTGACGCCGCGTGGTGTAGCTCGTCTTTCCCACGCGAACAAGAAGAATCGCCGAGGAATGGGAGAGGACGAGGAAGCGGATTGTCCGAACAACGCGCGGCTGTTCCGAATCGCTGTTTCCAACAGCCTGAAAAATATAGCCGAGTCTGTTAGGTGAGTGACCAGGTTGGCCAAGTTGGCTGTACAGTTAACAGGACTCGCGCCTTTTCTCGGTTTCGCGCGCAATTTCGCGCGCTTAACTTAACCTCTTTCTGTTGGTATATTCCCGGGTTTTTTCTTCCCACTAGAACTGATAAACTGGAGCAAGGAGAAGCTACGTTCTCGCAACTTCTGGTAATCTCACTAGAAGCTTTTTGTTTCTTTAATGCCCGTTTATATCGAATTGACTTTAATCTCATTGTTCAACTTGTAAGTTTTCATTTTTCTACAAATTTTTAGAACTAGAGGAAGGTGAAAAATTGCAATTGAACCGAGATTAAAATTAAACTACATTGGTAGAAAATGGGCAGAAAATGATGTAAGAGCTTTTTTTTATCTTATGAGATCTTTTTTTTTTGGCTCTCAACTGTTGTCGGCTCTTTTTTTCATTCAGCTGTGAAAAGATCTCTACGTCTTTACGTCTTTAATTTCAATGTTTGGCTGTGCACAAAAATCGTGATTCATACGCTCATGTAATAACAAGTATCGAAAGTATGTCAAGTGCGTCACGTGGTCGCGAAGAAAATCTCTTGGATTCAAACATCTCCTTTACAGTTTTTCGGATTTTATTGGATTGACAAGAAAGTAATTGCGTTTTTTTAAAAGGCATTAGTAAAAACCGCAATTACTTTCTTACCAACCAATATAAATATATCTTGATACAATAAAGTTTGAGCTTTAAGAATCTCTTTTTTAAATTGCGATACAATAATTTTTAACAGAGTTATTTGCAATTAAAATCAAAATGATCCTTTTATTTCCGCGATAATAATAACCAAAAATCATAAGAATATTAAAAAAAAAACGATTTTGTAGGGAAATTTTGTCTTGGACAAAACAAAACGTTACAAACCCACAAAGTGAGAAAAAAATTTTCTGTCTTTTCAGCTCGTAGTTTTTAATATGTAAAAATTATCAAACTTATATAAACTTAAAAAATATGGCAAGTTTTTAAAAATAGAGGTTTCAAGCTTTAAAACTCTTTTTAAATTAAAATTTCATTATTGACGAAGATATTGTATATATAACTTTGAGCTAAAAAAACGCAATTACTTCCTTGCCAACCCAATAGATTGCTTCTAATATTCTAATATTTTTTTTTTAGCAAGAAAAATGCAAGCATGTTAATTAAGAAATAATTTCAAATTCTGTAATTTTAATGTATGAATTCAAAAAATGTAGAAATAATATCTCGACCTTTTTTGTTCTATAAAATTTTTTTATGCATGATATTCGAATCAATATATATGTGAGAGAAATTTGTAAGGTGTTTATTTTAAGAATATTCTAGGCTCTTTTTTCGACTTCTTGTTTAATTCATCTATCTTTTCTTTCTTCATTGAAGAAAAAAAAAAGAAAATGCCAGATTAGCTAAAAAAAATAAATTACCTGTATAATTAAAAGCGTACTGAGAGATGATGTAAAAGTTATTTTTATACAAATCGATAATATTTAAAATCCGAAATTATGTTTTAGATAAATAAATAGATAAATAAAAAGTAAGACACTATCCTGTAGTCTAACGGTTCGCTGTTTGCGAGAAGGCGATTCGTGATTTATTGATGTAGCGAGACAGAGAC